TTGAAGGGAACCACAGTGTCCATTGGATGCGCCCGTAGATAAATGGCGTGATTTTTCTACGTTTGATCTTTAGTGAACTTTGACTCATGTTTGCACTGGTTACAATAAACAAACACACATAACAGTGCTGAGCTTTGTTGGAAAGGAAAGCATTTTGCAGTAAAACTCAGTCTCCAACAAACTCATGTTAACCACACAACTAAACTGCTTTTTAAATACCTACTTAGACGGATACGTAATATTTCCCAAATGACCGTCAAAAGTCCCGGATCAAATTTACGGTAGCTACGGTAACTAGCATTGCAAATCGTCACTACCACACCCAACATGTTGCATTGCATTTTTTTTGAGGCCATGTGGATAAACTATGCCACTTAATAATTGTATTATGCATCCTTTTTATGTTCAAAATGTGACATGTGTTTTTCGTTTGGATCCAAAATATGTTTTTTGGGGAAAATCACATTTTGTTTTTGGAGACCTGAATTGTTTTTATGGTATAATAAATTGTTTGAATGAAGATCAAAGTACAGTAGCTTGCACTACACATGTAACAGTACTCAATACAATGTGAATAAATCAATTTAAAAGAAAGACTAGGAATCTGTTTTAACACCTGTTTGACAACTAACATACATGTAATTGTTGTGTCACCATGGTTACATGAACTGTTTTCCACAGTGAGCACATTACTCAGGCTCTTCAGTAATGCAGTGACACAAATGAAGATGAGGATGACAGTGAAAAATCATTTGCCTCAACATGTCTGAGATGTTCTCATCCCTGATGCCGATCACCTTGAAACGTCTGGCTCACACCCTCACCAGAGGGACAACTGATGCTCGAGTAACGCAATATTATGTGATGAGTAATGCAAGGTTTTCTTTTCCATCACCAAACGTCTCGAAGCGTTTCAAGATTTCAAGGCTTGATTGTCATGTGCACATTTAGCTAAAGTGTAGATAAGGCAATGAAAAACTGAAGTCACAGGCTCCACCAATTGTGCAACGTGAATATATATCGGACGTAAAACAAATACAACTGAAACGAAAGGAAAATAAGGCAGAGTTGGAGAGGAGCAAGCGCAATTTGTTGTCATGATTTCAACAGCTCAGAAAACAAATACTATAGTTAGCGAAATATCTCTTTATTCATCATATATCATGTTCAACTTATATTCTCCTCCAATCCTTTTTTATGGCTTTATCCACAAGTTATAATCCAGCAATAATACATCAAAGGTGGCTTTCAAAACTTCTCAAACCAGCCCTGCAGCATACTTATGGTGTCACCCATTAAAGGATTATAAAGGACTGCATCAACTGAAACCCAATTGGTCAATCCTGCCCCACCTTAAAGTGACGGAAGTTCAGATGCATTGATTGTACATGTGTTACCACATCTTAAGGTGGTGTTGTGTGTGATTAAGATAAACTAAACTATGGTGTATAGGCGTGTGCAGAGCGGCTTCCTTCGCTGCATTTACCTGACACCTATAGTTACTTTGCACATTAATACTGTACATATGATCTAATGCTTCTGTCTACCTGAAGCTATTCTTATTTGACTTTGACACAGGGTAGTCTATCGGGTTTTTATTCAGACACTTTGAGTTGTAATCCAAAATCTCACATAAACACCCTTTTTTCAACTCATATTGTAATCAAGGCTCAACTAAACAGATCGGACCAGAAGGAAAATGCCAAATAGAATGTCCTTAAATAACGGCCACAAAAACAAAAAGATAATATGAACACAGATATATTCTAATGAATATGAAATGCTTAGAAAGTTTCCCAATTACGAAACAGACCACACTGGTGATCAAAGTGTGACCTAAAGTTATATCCTTCTCTCCTAATCATAAAGTAGGGTTTTAAGACATGCAACAAGATAAGATAAGTTATATTTGCTTGTTGTGTGTTTCAGAGTGAGTCAACGCAAGTTTCCGGGGGTAACTCTATATAAGGAAATATCCGGGGTATAGTTAACTTTAACCTGGTACTCTAAAAGTCCTACAGTTTCATACAGTAAACACTGATCAGGGCCGTCCCTGGCCAACTTGAGGCCCCAAGCGACATTGTGAGATGAGGCCCCCCCCCCCAACCGACAGGAGTGAACATTTT